AAAAAAAAAAAAAAACATAATTTCTCGATGCTCTAACAATCTTCAAACATGATTATTAATAATTAAAACTAGACTTTAAAAGGCGGTAACAATATAGAAGATTTGGAAGCTGCCAGTGAAGGTGGGGTTGTCTCTAATGCTAAGACTATTTGAAGTCTTGTGTTTTTAAAAACTCTCAGGTAGGGGCACCTGGGTGGCTCAGTCGGTTGAGCGTCCGACTTCGGCTCAGGTCATGATCTCATGGTCTGTGAGTTCGAGCCCCGCATCGGGCTCTGTGCTATCAGCTCAGAGCCTGGAGCCTGCTTTCGATTCTGTGTCTCCCTCTCTCTCTGCCCCTCCCCTGCTCATGCTCCGTCTCTCTCTCTCTGTCAAAAATAAATAAACATTAAAAAAATAAAATAAAAAATAAAAACTCTCAGGTACTTCTGAAATGCATGGTCTGTGTCATTAGGTCAGGAGTAGATTCACAGTAAATACTCCTGTGGGCTGAAAAAAGCTTCTGTCAAAGGATTCATACCCTATATAACACACTCTGCATGTGTAACCCTGTTCTTAAGGACTTCCTGAGAAAGCTCGTCAAATACTTTCTCTCACATCCTGAGAGTTCAACAAAGAATCTGTTCTCTCTGTTTTACAGAGGCAGGAAACACTGGCACAAGTAGGAGGAATCCTGGGAAAAAGAGTCTGTGTGGATAGTGCTCTGGCTGAAGTATTTTCCTCTGGTATTTAAGAAAATGAAATCAGGTCAAATACTGGCTCTTTACATAGGAAACTTTTTTGTTATTTTAAATCCAGAATATGAGTGGCCTTTTATGTAGCTGAAGGGGGCTTGAGAGTGAATTTTATGCCCTCTGTTTTCCTGCCTCTAGCTTGGATAGTGTTTCTCAACAGTAGTACTGTTGACATTTTGGGCCTGATAATTCTTTGTTGTCACATGACATTTAGCAGGATATTTACCCTGGCCTCAACCCACCAGATACCAGAAACACCCCTAAAAGGCACCCACAAAGATGTCTTGAGATATTGCCTTATATCCTGTGGAGAGTAAAAGCACATCTAGTAAAGGACCACTAGGTATATGGGGTGAATCCAAAGCATTTTATGCTAAGCATATTGTATGAGATAGTTGAGAAGTCCTTGCCTACTGAGCATCTGTATTTTCAAGTAGTTTTAAAGCTACTGCATGGATTCTTTGGCTCTGTAATACAAGTGTAAACAGGCACACTCTATGTCTTATACCATCACTACAGGTGATGATACCTCATCAATACGTGAAAGATGATCAGAATGTCCCCCACCCAGCAGTGTGACATGAGCTGTTCTTGGGGAATGGGGACAAGGCCTCCCTCTAGTTCAAGTGAAAGGAAGTTGCAGAAGCTGCTTGCTGGGCCTGCCCTGCCTGGTGTCTTGTCTAACTCCTTGAATGCCAGGACAGCAGCCCTGCCAGGTTTTCTACCAACCTTTTATCTTTCCTTGATAACTCTTTCCAAGCCTCTGAGCACTGTGGGCAGTGTTAACCCCGTGACTTTGAGGAAGCTGTGTCCCTCTCTGGGCCTCAGCTTTTTCACCTGTAAGGCAGCAATAACAGTCAGCTTGTGAGAATAATGTTGAGCTGTCAAGGGATTCTTCTTCATGCAGAGTATGATCTATTTTTGTTGACAGTCTACTGACCTCAGGGCACCAGAGCGAGGCTAGTGAGTAACTTTGCTGAGGTTGTGGTCCCGTGGTTTTCTCCTTCATTGCATCTTTGACTATGAATGAACTGGGTGGAGCTTTGGTGGAGTTCCTTGGTCTGGCTCTATGAGTGACATACAGTATAGATTTTACTGTACTGGAGTAAGAAAGTTGATATCATTGTGCTCTGTTCACCTTCCTTGTTGATTTCCATTTTAATTCAAAAGCATTCTTGTAAACCATAGTCTCTTGGGTTTGTTTCTTTTTTCCTTCTCTCCTTCCTTTCTTACAGGGAACAGTTCCACAGCTTGAAAATCAAGTGCTTTACATAATTAACCTTTTTATCTTTATGATTAATTTCTTTTTCCTCCTGATGAATATATATTTGTCCCACCTGTGTATTCATTTGAAGGACAGACTGGTACATGATTAAGGGTCAAGCAGACAGGGTGACTTAAATTAGATAGGGCTCAGTTTATAATAGCACAGTCTTTGCTAGGGTCTTGTGAAGACCAGAGATAATATACGTGATGTGCAGGTCTTGGCACACATCATAGGTACGCAGTAAAAGGGAGTTAAGATGATCATTGTCATTTTCTCTTGACTCATCAAGAAGTTTCCAGACACTAGACCTTTAACACATGTTACCTTGCAGTCACCCTGATTTCTGTGCAGACCATCCATAAGAAATGTTTGGACCAGGTTTGCCTCCCCTTTGGTCTGCTTGTTTGTCTCCCCACCATTGCCTTCCACTGTTTTCTGAAAAGTGTGTTAGTGCAAGTAAAAACCTATGAGAGGGACTCTACACAGAGTCTTTGCTGAGACAGCTATTTGGCCTTCTGTTGCATTGGACCTCTTTGGACCCCATTCCTCATAGTTGCCCAGACCCTACTTAGAAAAGC